GTTCTTCTGTACCTATTTTTATACCTGTAATAGTTAAGTCAGAGCGGATAGCAATCGCTAATGGTTCTATACTTTTGATTGAAGTTTGTTTAACCTTCTGACTTGGCAAACTTGTGCTGTTTCTTGAATCTGCTTTGAGACCAACGCTTTGACGATGACATCTGCTCTCGGAAATGTCTCCAGATCTATGAAAAAGATTTGACAGACTTAGTTTCTCCACAGATGTTCCTGGATGGCTGAAGAGTCTTCGTCTCCATAAGTACGCCGTGCTCTTCTCCACAATGACCTACGATGAGATGATGTCACTGACGGAAGAACAACTGGAAGCACAGGTTTGTAAGCGCACAAAAAACAAGAGATTTTAACATTTCCACTGCAAAAACACAAAATCGTACCAAGTATGGTTGTCGAATTTCTAGTGCAAATATCTTAGTTCACTTGAAATAAGACAAAACTGACTTACAAGTAACTTTTCAGCTAGATGTAGGAGCTCGTTTTAAGTCAATAATTCCTTAAGTATTAGTTTCACTGGCAGTTTATTTCACTTATAACAAGATAATTTTCCTATGTTACAAATGTAAAAAAATCTGCAAGTGGAACTGGCATTTTTTATGAATATTAAGGAATGAACTACTTAATGTCTTGCTGAAAAGTTACTTGTAAGTCAGTTTTGTCTTATTTCACGTTTATTAAGATATTTGCACTGGAAACTACTTGGTAAGATTTTGTGTTTTTAACAATGATAAAGGTAGTTATTTGTGAAAAAGCCGTGTTTTAATGCCATTTGGCATCCAACCGAGAGTTTTATCCATACCATTCAGGAATCGCTCATTTAGATCCCGTTGCATCCAAATTTTCCTTACTGTTCTCTCGCCATAATAAAAATATCTTCCTAGCGTTAATGCTATCTGGCTACTTACTTGAAAAGTTGCTTCTGTCACGGAACAAATATAGCAGCTGCTTTCCTTGTAGATGAAGGCATTGAGGAATCTATTATTAAAAGCGGGATGCAGCTAAATTTAATTCAGCTACAGCTGTCCAGGAAGCAGTGCGCTTCCTCCAGGTGCTGCCAGTTCTTTCTGCCCAACTCTAATGTGATGAACATCCACACCAAGACGTCTCTAAATGTCTGCCTCATCATACTGCTGCTGTGGGTTAGCATAAAGGAAGCATAGCTACCAATTAAAATGTTATTTTTCTGATTTTTTTCTTGATGTTTTATAATCTTAATCTGTTTTTTTTCTGCAGAAAGTCACCAAAGGAGCTCGACACAAGATTGTAATCAGCATTCAGAAACTCAAAGAAAGGCAGAACCTTCTGCGCAGCCTGGAAAAGGTCGGAAACTGTTGGTTTTTTCATGCAAAAAATAAAAAGTCATCTAGCTTTGACTTTTATTTTGGTCATTAGGACCTTTTTGTTTAAGTCAACAAGCCTGTAAATGGCCAAAACAACAGAAGAACTGATCTAGAAAACTGGATTGTTAGCCTAGTTTCTAGTGCAAATATCTTAGTTCACTGGAAATAAGACAAAACTAACTTACAAGTAACTTTTAATCAAGCTATAGGAACTTGTTTTAAGTCAATAATTCATTAAAATTGAGGGAAAAAGTACTAGTTTCATTTATAATATGGGAACAATGTGTTGTTATAAATTATATAATCTGACCATGGATTTAGTGCTTTTTTAAAATCGACATTAAAAGTCACTTTTAACAAGATTTCACTAGTAAGTTAGACCAAACTAACTTATAAGCGACTTTTTAGTAAGAAAGTAGTTTGTTACAAGTGAAATAATCTGCCAGTGGAACTCAAACTTTTTCATCAATATTAAGGAATTATTGAGTTAAAACAAACTCCTTTGTCTTGCTGAAAAGTTACTTGTAAGTTAGTTTTGTCTTATTTCAGGTGAACTGATAATTTTTCATTAGAAACTAGACAGTTGGTAAGATTTTGTTTTTGCATTGAAAGGAAGGTTTTGGCACAGATTTGAAACTCATTCTCCTCTCTTTACTCATAACCCTTCAAAGCAGAACAACAACATTAAAGGTCAGGCAGAAGGAGGGACTGAGTTGAGGAAGCTAATTTCAGGCGTAACCTTTCGCAGCAGCACTGTTGCGACATGGCTTGATGTTGAGGCAAATGTCTTTACTTCATTTAACAAGTTAAAGATGACCCGCTGTGCTTACTTCAACAGGTTAGGGTTGGTCTATGGGAGATATAAAACATGTTTACTGAATTTTTAGCACAAATTCATTATTGCATAATGAGATTTTAGCTGTTTCAGAGCCTCCTGTCAATTTAAATTTAAATGAGCTGCCGCTGGCCACGCCCCCAACTCAACGTTTATATTCATTCGTCAAAATGGCTGCAAACAGATGTGCAATTATACAACCAGTAACTAGTTACATTTACTCAATTACATTTACTTGAGTAACTTTTATGAAAAATTTACTTTTAGGAGTATTTTTGCTACGCTGTACTTTATACTTTCACTTGAGTACTTTTATTATAAAGTATTTTTATAATAAAAGTATTTTGAGTAAAATTCCTGGATTTTCTACCCACTGAATGGAAAAACAAAAATCTTTTAACAAAAAATTCACCAGACACAAACACACACCTGCAGGTTTTGTTAGTTTCATATTTTTTTATTGAAAGAAACTAATTCGGAAAAATTTTCTTTATTTTTTTTTATAACTTATATGAAATATTGCCATTCTGTCCTTAAAATACCAAATTTTCCACTTACGTTTATATTTTGGTCACTAGGATGATGTCATTTTTTAATATTAAGTGATTGATAGTTTGATCAGTTATGAGTAAACTTTTTACCAAATACTTTTTTACTCTTAGTTGAGTAATTTGTTGGACAGATACTCTTTACTTTTACTTTTAGTAAAAATGTATTGAAGTAGTGCTACTCTTACTTTTTGGCTGCTCTGCTCACCTCTGGTTATTATTTATTTTAGCGCTGATGTCTCCCAGTTTGGTTGGTGAATGTTTCCTTCCTGTTTCCAGGACGTCTTGGAGGGCGGGAATCTTCGCATGCCGCTGCAGGAGCTCCACCTGATGATCACGACTCCCATCAAGGCCTTCAGCGGAGGGGATGAGTCGTCTCTGCAGCGCCCCCTGTTGAGTCCGCAGAGCAAGAGCTCCGCCTCCGACTCCGGCCTGCCTGGAGGCGGCGGAGGAGAGGCCGAGTCCGGCGGCAGCGTCATTGCAGAGGGGGATCTGCCGGGCCAGTTCACCCGGGTCATGGGGAAAGGTGAGCGTCATTCACCTGTTCAGGTGGTTTCACACCTGAGTTATGTCAGGGGTGTCCAAACGTTTAGACACCTAGGCTAAAATTGTAAACCCAAAGTAGCTGCAGGAGGCCAAAGAAACCAACCTCAGGATATGCACTGTGGACTCCCCCGTCTCATGTTCTGTTTTCACGCTGCCCTCAGTTTGCACCCAGCTCCTCGTGTCGCGGTCGGATGAGGACAACATCAGCTCCTACCTGCAGCTCATCGATAAATGTCTCATCCACGAGGTATTTCCCTCCAATTTTTAAATACAGGCCTGTCACAATAACTCGATTAATCGCACCATAAATCCATAATTTCCATTTGCACGATTTATTGTTTTTCTTTCTACCAAAAACTGGATGATAAAAGTTTCAATCTGATGTTTTCAATCTACTTTTTATTGCAGTCAGACAGAAGACTTACTTACAGATTATTTAACTCATAACACATTTTTCCCACATTACAAGTAAAATTGTCTGACAGTAAGTACTGGTGCTTTTTCATCACAACTAAAGAATTATTGATTTAATTTGAGTTTTTCAGTCAGAAGCTCCAACTTCTGTCTGAAAAGTTTTGTCTCATTTCAAGTTTGCAAATATATTTGCACTAAAAAATAGCCAAAAATTCTTGATGGAGAATTAGTTTACTTCCTGATTTTTAGCTGCTGTTGTCTCTCTTTGTGCCTGGCAGTCCTTCACAGAGACGCAGAAGAAGAGGCTGTTGTCATGGAAACAGCAGGTCCAGAGGCTTTTCCGGTCGATCCCGAGGAAAACTCTCCTTGACATTGCGGGTTACCGGCCTCAGAGGAGGTACGTTTTCACAAACTGGCCATTTTTTCCACTATTTGTGACAGCAAATGTGTTTTGTTTTTAAGTAGCTTTATTAACTTTTCTGATTTCATTCTGACTTTCTCATTTCTCGTGTCCTGCAGCCGTTTCGGTCAGTCGAACTCTCTCCCCACCACCAGCTGCGTCGGGAGCAGCGTGTCCGCCAGGCGCAGCCTCCACCAGTTCCATATGCCTTCCAGGAGCTTACCGGGAGCCAGACTGGGTTTACTGGGCAGCGGGGGGCTGCTGGGACCCACACCCCGCAGCTCCAGCAGCACCCCGACCGGGCCCAAACAGGGCAGGCATGTAAGTCAAACTGGACTGTAGAGGATGCAGGAGTTGTTCAGCTGTTTGGCTGCGTTCATGTTAGCTTAGCTTTAGTGATAGCGTTGACTAATGCTGGCTCTATTTTTGCACCAGTTTCAACTTCCACACTGCAGCTTATTAGTTACACTGCATAAACACAAAATCTTACCAAGCAGACATGTGACCCTGATGTCAGCTGGGGGTCAGGGAGTGGTCGTCTTTGTTAGCCTGCAGCTTTTTGCCCTCCAACAGGGAGACGGGGGCGTGACGTCACACTGCAACTGAATCCATATTTGCTTTTTGTTGTTCTGGATGGTTCATCTAGGTTTTGTGCTGCGTTTGCCTACCAAGATGGCGGTTCAGTGGCACGCATCACTTCCAGTTCAGACTTATGGGAACTATGTGATAAGGGAAAGACACTTTCAGAAGCTTCAGAGTTAAACTGCTTCGTTCTGAAGTCGTATCTTTGACGTTAAAGTGGAACATTCCCGAACTGAGCAGCGAGACATTCCAGGATGGTTACAGCCGCCAGGGCTCAGCACGTCTTCTCCCTGAAATAGTTTTTCTGTCATTATTCCATGATGAGGAAAAGCAGGATGAGTAGTGTGTGTGTGTGTGTGTGAATGGAGCTCGTAGGCAGGTCGCTCCACATACCAGAGACTCTGCGTCAACACTGAAAACGGGCGGAGCCGTGCGGGAGGTTTTGGGGCCGTTCTGCCTCATTTTGGTCTGATCCGACCCATTTCAGAGCGGTTTTCTTTTCCTTTTCCCCTCCCTCCTTCTGCTCATCATCCCTCACAATGGCAGGAAATACCTCAGTTCCTCCTTCTTGTCTTTGGAGTGGAAGTGCCAGGAGAGAAAAAGGGAGAAAAGTCGGCTGGCAGGGAAAGCTGTGAGTCACTGTAGCTGTGAGGAGGAGGGGCGACCGAGGTACAGCATATATATAGGGGAGAGAGAGAGAGCGCGCGGCTCAGATACAGTGAGAACAGTGCGCAGGCATTTCCTGTTTTTCGCTGGCCGTCGGCACTGCAGGGCGGTGAGGGATTGGATAATACGCAGGTTACTCTCAGACCCGTCATTAGGTCTACCTGACTTAGGGAGGAGAATCAGGAGAAAACAACATTTCCTGCTTCCACCAGTAAAGTTTTTCATCTGCAGATGTTGCAGCAAAGCAGCAATTTGCTGAATAAGTAGTAAAACAAATGAAGGAAGCAGGATTTTCCCTGTACACTGCAAAAACACATCTTACCAGGTATTTTTGGTCTAGTTTTTAGTGCAAATATCTTAGTACACTTGAATTAAAGCAAAACTAACTTACAAATCTCTTTTCAGCAGATATAGGAGATTGTTTTAATAAATAATTCCTTAATGTTGATTAAAAAATTACGCTTTCCATTGACTGATTATTTCACTTATGAGAAGAAATTTTTTTCTCATGTTGATAATAATCTGGTCTTTCTAGTGCAGATATCTTAGTTTTGCCTTATTTCTAGAGTATTAACTTACAAGTAACTTTTCAGCAAGAAATAGGAAAAATAATTCCTTATTATTAATTAAAAACTATTTGTTATTTAAGTGAAGTAATCTGCCACTGGAACAAGACAATTTAATTTATAATACTGGAAAAACGTCTTGCTGTCCTGGCAGATTAATCCACTTAGAAGTAGAATTCTTTTAATCAATTTTAAGGAATTATTGACTTAAAACAAGCTTCTACATCTTGTTAAAATGTTTCTTGTAGGTTAGTTTTGTTTTATTTCATGTGTACTAAGACATCTGTACGAAAAACTAGACCAAAAATACTTGGTAAGGTTTTGTTTTTGCAGTGAAAAACACAAGGCAGCTAATTTGGGATTAGAAATCTGTTTTTGGAACCAGAAATTATGAGCAATTTGCTTTGGCCCAGAAATATCTTGTCTAACGTTTTAAAATTGTTTAATATTTCTATTTCTATTGATTCTATAGTTTTGATAAGTTTTATTTAACCGGACTTTGGGGGAAACAACTCTCTGGAATATTCTGGTGTTAGTCTGAACGAAACCCATTAATGTGTTTTTAATATGACTTTCTTATTTTTAAGCAGTTTTGAGGCGGGTTACTGCTGAGTAACCTTCTCAGCAGGTCGTTGCCAGGCAACCAAAGTTGGGGGGAACTTGAAACTGCTTCTTGCTCAGCAGGCTGTTGCTAGGTAACCACAGAGTGAGAGAGTTAGTTGATTCCACCAACCCAGTGAGAGATTTATAAAATATTCTGTCAGACATATTACCTGTTGATAGGTAATGTGTGAGGAGCTACCACTCTTTTTTTTTATTTGATTTATGGATTATCACGATATGTATTGTTATTGATTTATTGGCCGGCTCTGGCTTTAAATCGGCTCAGTAATATGTTAAATATTTCTTCTCAGGGCCCCTGGTTTGCCAACCCTGGTGGAAGTAACAGCATGCCGAGTCGGACCCACAGCTCCGTGCAGAGGACGCGGTCGCTGCCGGTCCACACCACCATGGTTCCGTTCCAGCAGGCCGGTGAGGAGCTACTGCTCTGTCGATTTCATTTATGATTTATTTAGCAGCCAGTCAGCCAAAATGGCCGACTCAGTGATAAATCATGTCAGAGGAAGTGACGACTTTAGTTTTTGTATTATTAAAAAATAACTTGGCCCATAACTTTACGGATCCACTACAAACACAAAAATAATAAATAAAAGATGAACCGTTCAGTGGTTTAAAAATAAACAACTGATACATTTTTAGTATTTACTGTAATCGAATAATATTTTTTAATGCAAATACTTTAGTGCACTTGAAAACAGACTAAGCTAACATATAAGTAACTTTTAAGCAAGATGGATGATGTTATTTTAAGTAAATAATTCTTAATATTGATATTCAAAAAGTGCTAATTCCACTGACAGATTATTTTACTTTTACTGTGGGAATATCTATTTTTTTAAGTGTACTAGTACTTTTTTTTTTATCAATATAAAGGAATTATTTACTTGAAACGAGCTTCTATATGTTATGGGAAGTTACTTTCAAGTTAATTTTGTGTATTAAGACATTTGCACTTAAAACTAGACCAGAAATAATTGGTAAGATTTTGTTTTTGCAGTTTATGACATAAAAACAAGAATACTCGCTCAAATTCACGTCTTATTTCTTTTTTTTTATTTGCCTGAGCTAATTTTGTCTAGTTCCTAGTGCAAATGTCTTATTACACTTGAAATAAGTCAAAATTAACTTTCAAGTAACTTTTCAGCAAGAAATAGGAGCTTGATTTGAATTAATAATTTCTTAATGATGAAAAAGCAGATGTTTTTTTTTTCTTAACATTTTTCTAAATTACAAGTTAATTTAACAGCCAGTGAATAAGTACTTTTTAAAAAATCCATTTTAAGGAATTATTGACTTAACCCTCTTAAGACCATAATTGTAACTGGGGCGCCTGGTATTTTTCTGATTTT